GCTATTTAGCTTAGAGATTCCTCTCGAAAAATATATCAAGTTCGAATTTTCAAGAAAAATTTGAAGGTTTTAGAAGGTTAGACGAGTATTTCGAGAGATAAAATATATCGAGGATTTGCATTAGTTTGCGCTGTCTTAACATTATATATATATATATTGTAACCACTAAAAATATTTTCTAACCGTACAAAAATTTCGAGGTGAAACTTTGGTGTAGACGGGAGAAAATATTTAAATTTTGTAGATTATCCGAGAATAATAGTAAGGAAAAAAAAAAAAAAGTGATATTTTCCGTTGGTAGAAAGTTGAGAAAATGTTTTTTGATTCGGTCTCTATCGAATATTTTTCTTACATTTTTTTGAACTTCCTTCTAAAATCTTTTGACAAACAAATGACTTGTTCACCCTCGCAGTTGTTACATAAAAATGTTTTATGCGTCAAACATGGATTTTGAATAAACTGCCTCCTCTTTTTCTCTCCCTACCTTTTTCCCCCCCCTTTAAAATGCATTCCCGAATAAATTCTATCTTATAGGCTATAGAATTGTTAACATTACGTTATCTCCGGCGAAATAGTCAATATTACTAGGAAGAGGAAGAAAAAATGACAGCTTAAAAGCTTCGGAAAAGATCAAAATGCTAGAGTTATGTTCTCTGTTTTGTATTATTTTCATTCTTGTAAACATATTTGAGTTTAATAGAATTTTTATTGGTTAAAAAGTCGATTTGATTCCTTTTATTTCGGCTGTTGTGGTTGTTAAAATTTTAATACTTATTAAAAGCCTAGAAATTTCCATAAAAATAAACACTTTCGGCTTCTATATTCGGTTTAGTGAATATACTTTCAGCTGTTATAACGCATTACATAATCGTAAAACAGCGCAGAAACACTAGGAAAAAAAAAAATGGTAGTAATTACACGTGTTGACCTTAAGAACACACATCGCTCTGTGTTCGTTTCATTGTTATATCTCCCGATCGCTGTAATCAACAAGAACTGCCATTATTAGTTTATAACTTTGTTTCTCGTATATGTCAGTATCATTAACACAGCCACCACTATTAATCGGAGTATTGTTTCTCTCGTGTGTCCGTGTATTGTCTTCTGCGAGAACCATTACTATTGCTTGATTCTGTGTTTATCCTTACGTTATTTAATAACATAATAAAAGAAATATATATATATATATATTATTTCTATTATGCTAAATCTTAACAATACCCATCATTTATAACGTCCATTTTCCTTCATCTCGCGTTAAAAATTGCATGACCCAAAAGTCAGTTAACCGAGCCAGTTAATTGATCGCTTTGTGATTTTAAATAGTGGATTTTTTTTTATCTTTTTATTGTTTAAATTTACCGATACGTCAGTAAATTTGCATTATTTTTAATAATCGATACGGCCGTACGTTTTATTTTACATTTTTTTTTTTTTCTTATCGTTTGCTACATTGTATATTTACGTATTCCCTTAATAATTATTTTAAAATTATATATGTACAAGGTATTAAGTATTAATCCGTCTGGTATTTTACGACAAGCTTTAAACGGGGGCCTTAGACCGAGGTATCAAAATATTACCATAAGAATCATAAATCATTTTTCCAAGCATATTAATCCCACTTTCGCATCGTTTATCTAAATCACTTTATACGTTTAATAATCATAAAGAGGGATTGTTTGACAACCAGCGCGTGGGGAGTGGGTGGTGAATCACAAGGAGGAGCGAGTACGTCTTTGTGTACAAAAAAGGTAATCCTATATACGCCAACGCTATTTTTATTCATCGACCTACGTAAAAAACATCCCGAAAGGCTAAGTTATGAATGTTTTACTACCCTTTTACAAAGTAAAATCGAGTCGGGTAGCGATCTATATCGGATAATTCCGTTTTGCTGCGACAAAAATCATTTGTCGTCACGATTGTTTGCGTGATGATCCTTTCATAACAATACTCGACGGGATATAACTGTGATTTATATATCTTTATAAAGGAAAAAAAGGGGGGATGAGAGGGAGTTGCTCTTTTTATCATTTCAACTATTCACGCGCTGGAATAAAGGGCATTACTCCTGATGTTCGATACGTAGATTTATATATATATATATATATATATATATATATATATGTATTTTTTTTTGAACGAAGGGTGCAAATGCTTCCGTGATCCTATTTTTTTTTACGTGTCTTCTCAGTCGAAGAAACACGATGCGGATTGAATTCGACGAAACGATTGCATGCAAAAATCCTTATTTCATGAGAGGGAAACCTTAAAAAAGTTATCCTGATTACGAAATAAGATATGAATCGGCATTTTGAGTTGGGTTCTGAACCGAGTTTTTTTATTTTTATTTTTTATTTCTTTCTGAATTTTACGACTTCGCATCTTGATGGGATTACTTACGACCGACTTATTTCGTTAATCGAGTTTGTACAAATTTAATTATTATTATCATCGCTTTAAAAAGCATTTTCTATAGTATTAAATAAGATTTTTCACATCTAATAATAAATTCTGGTGTATAATTTAATAAAATATACCGGAATTTTAAAAGAAAAATTCTTAATCCTATTATAAAATAGGATTAGATATTTTATTTTTTTTTATTTTGAAAGAAGAACATGCGCTATAGAAAAGAGGTGCATCTTCATCTGTTTTGTCAAATCTCCATGGAGTGATGCGTAGGATTATATACGTTTGTGGATGCTCCCACATAATCGAACCATCTGTATGTCTTCATACTCGTTATATAAATATTATTAAGGCCTACGCTTATGTTTACATTTCATACAAATGGGGTTTATAGAAGTAAAATCTTAATAAATTTAACCTTTTCGTACTCGCTACTTGTATAAATGGATATATAAAAAGATATAATCACCATAAAATGTTTATTAAAGAGCAAACTCTTCCAAAGAATTCAGAAGAAATTTTTGTTTGTCCTACAGAAATTAGGGTTGTTTTTTTTTTAATATATAAAACACACTTTTATGTAGAGCAAGATTATTATTAAAAAAAAAGTGCAGTCACTGCACATTAATTGCAGTTTTACTAAATGACACTTTATACACGTTAGTTTAAACAAAATTAACAAATTCGCAAACATTAATTACGAATCAAAACATAAAGGATAATTTAAGTAATCAAGCTCATCAATCAAATAACGTTGCGGAACATTAAAAATCTACTTTAAACAAGCAAAATGGCTGCCATTTTTGGACGGGATCCAATTATCATTCTGACTTTCCCAGTGATAATTCTAGCGAAAGAGACAAACATAGAAATACGATATTAAAAATCTGAAAAATTTCATTTTACTAAACGGAATCGATCGTTTAAGAACGAAATAAATCGAGGAAATTACGTCAGAATCGTCATTATCTTGGCTGAAGATATACTCTATTATAATACACATGTATAGGTACTGTACGTATATAAGTTATAACGCCTTGTACCAAAAATTACCGTTATTAAATCATGCAATTTATATCAAATCTTATAATTAAATTCGTTACACAGATAATTTTATCTCATTTAATTATCTTAAGATTAATGAGATCATTAAACAGCGAAAAATGCTTTCTCTCTTGATTACTTCAGGTGATGCGTTTATGAAGTGATGCATAGTTAGAGGAGAAAGAAGATGAAGATGATAATAAGGAAAAAAAAACAACAACTTTACCAATCGTTCGAATGTGCTGTACATCACCTTATATCACATATAAAATCCATTTATTTGCGATTTTTTTGTAGTGAAAGTTTAGAAAAGACGTGATTACGTGTAGACATGCAAACACAGATGATGGTAAGTTGAATGAGGGTGTACACGACCCGCACATATCAATCGCTTTCTAATGGTTTCTCGGTAAAATATACATCTAAATTTTCATCAAATCTCAAAAAATTCGGTATTAAACATCTTAATTTAGTTACAACAACGTACAGATGCGAAGTAATTTTATAAAAATCAGGAAAAGACGACCGTTCCTTTTCATGAACGTCGTAAAGATTAATTAAATATATAAATATAAGAGCATACTGTTCTTTTCAGGATGATTAATTTTGAAAAGATTAATTCTCGAGTTCATCATGCCGATTAATTTTCAAAAGTTGGATGAAATTTTCCTTTTCCTATACAATATATCGGTTAATTAAAAATTTGAAACCGATACCGTCCCCTTTTCAAGTACAGCACGGTTGTTAAATTTAATAAATTCTGAAAACCGATATGGATATTTTTCGGGTGTACAGTACGGTAACCTGTACACTGATAAGTTTGAAAAATTACAAAGTTTGTATTATAATTAATAAAAAAATAATTAAATGAGTAAGTAATAGTAATATTGATTAATTTCAAATTAAAATTTAATTTTTTAAAATATAATTAAACGATAAATCTAAAGATGATTATATTTTAAAAATAGGGGAAAAAAGTAACTATCTTTTTAGTCATTTTTACTTATTTTAATAGTTTTTTTTTCTAATTAAATAATATTTTAAAAAAAGAATTTATACCAAATTAGTATTAATATAAATTTAGATATAATTATAATTAATTTATGTAGAAAATAATACAGAAAATTTATAAAATTTTCTATTTTTTGGATAGAAAATTTTAATGATTATTCTATTAAATTTAACGAGTTAAATTTTAAAATACAGTAATTTATTTCGGTGAATTAATCTTCCGTCCTCGTTACGCCGAGGATATAATACTCGAAAATAAGATATAAACTTAATAAGATATAAATTTCAATCTTCGAAGTGTAATGAAGTAGCAGGTAAACGTATACATATAATTTTTTCCCCTCTAATCTCGTTAGAAATGATGAGTTGTCGCGTTACTTGTATATTGTATACTGTTACACTACTGAAACGACCCATCGTAAAATATGAAAATTACATCGCGACTCTTCAATTTTTTTATTTTTTTATTTTAAATTTTTCTAACTGGAGAAAAGTTAAAGAAATTATACAGAGAAGCCATTAACACTCACCTCTAACACAGTTCGATGCCTGTATTAATATCCATAAGAATCCGATACAGAATCTCCACATCCTGTCAGCATCCACTGCGTCATTCGCCCATAATTCTACTTGGTGTAGGACCGAATAAGGTTGCGAAGGGTGTAGAGCAGACGGTGTTCATTAAGCCATATCTGACGTGTAAAAAAAACGAAGAACAATGCACCGGACCTACACGTGAACGATTCGCAGCTAGGCGTTGAAACAAACAAAAAAATGTGCCGAGTTGTCTGCGAGGTGGTTTTCTATTTTCGAGTTGAACGGCCCAACTCCAGGCCAGTAGATGACAACTATTGGTTGAGACGCCATCGTTATATCGACTGGTTCTGTGCGGTGCCTGCCCTCTACGCCACTGACGTCATTTCGAACTAGGTTAGTCACTAAAAGGAACGAGGATGTTGTTATCGGACTGTTCGCTTAGGTGTATACCGAGAAGTGTTTAACGCGCAATTATTTGGGAATTTTATTGGCTAGTCATCGAAGATATTAGGTTAAGAAAGTCGTCGACATTGTGTTTTAATTGTTAACAAGCCTCTGTTAAGCTCGATAGATGCACGACATCCTCTGTTAGTTGGAGGACGTCCTTAACTTTCCCACCTTAAAATACGATACCAAACTGTGTTAAAAAGTTCACAATTTCCTTTCAATTAAATTTGACCCTCCGAATATATACCCCGGAACTATTTTTATATAAAATTCCGGCTTTATTTTCTACGCATCAGACCTCCACCTCAGTTAGATAATCACCCGGACTTCCTATACCATTTTTTTTTTTCTACACAGAAGCCGTTAACGAATTTTAAATTATACGCATTAATTTCGTACATAAAGAAAATAAATCAATGCATACGTTTGATTTTTATATATGTACCATTTTAAAAAAGAGAGAAAAAAATGGATAGGTATAGCATATAGACTATAAAGTAGATGTTATCTAGTTTTATACAATTGAGGCACTTTAAAAAATAGGCATGTAGAAAAAAAAAGTAAAAAGAAAATAGTGTTATACAGCAAGAAGAATTCATTGCCGCTTTAGAAATGGCCCCTATACAAGTTTGCCTGTAGTAAAGAGGAATTTCTGTCCAACATTTCCTTTTACTTTGATAGTAGATGGTAATAGATGGTTTCTGGAAAATGTTACTCTTATATCAGAACACTATTTTTCGTTTTAGGAAATAACAAATTCTCTATCGGTGATTTACCGATCCGATAAATTTGCAGAAAAAGCAAAAATTCTGTCTAACTTGAATATAAAAACAAGTTATATTTAATTCTTTTTTAATAACGTAACTCATCCGGTAAGTACAGTACAGTACGTAAGAGATTAGTTGGATTTTTCAGTTCCCTATCACCCAATCGAGTGGACTTACCTAGTTAAGATGATTTGTTAACAATGTCACGCGTAACAGAAGCTATCGTGTGACCAGTTTGGATGTGTCTAGGGAAAGAATCAATGAAGAGTCACCGAGGAAGAAGTTAAATTGATTGGGCGGAGTCGTCTAGTTGGAAGAATTCCCTCAGGTTTTAGGGTATATCTTTTTCCTTACATGTTTAGGAAATTGATTCCGCTGGTGTATGGATGATCCTAAAAAGATCAGGAACGGGTCTTCCCGCGGATCACACTCGTTTTTCTCCCTTAAATTCGCATCACGTGATCGTGCGTTTACAGTTACATGCGAGTTGTTAGGAGGACTTTATGCTTGGACGAACGAGTTTACATTTCAGAGAGAGGATTCGATAAATATCAAAGAGATTCTTTCATTTCGGTGAATTGAGCCTCCTTTTTTTTTTAATATTTTCTATGTATACGATACTTACTTAAGCAACTGAAGTGTAAATGGAAAGTAGAGGTTCCCTGCTGAGAAAACTGAACGTTTGTTATATTCAGCAGCGACGCATTAAAGCGATAAAAAAAATAATAATATAAAGAAAATAAACGATTTTGTCGATTATCCAGATCAAAGGAAAAACGTTTAAGGATTTAAATTTAAATTGTTAAACAAAAAACCACCCAAAAAAACTTATTTAAACTTTTATTGAATCGACAAATTTAATGCTTAAATGCTTAAACCGGTATAAAATTAGTGTAATTAATTAACACCGCGCCTTTCATGCATTAAATATGTAATTTGTCTGGACGTAATTATTTTCGAAAATTCAAAAATAAACCAATGAAAAACGCCTGGTTGTAAATTACGACGTCTTTATTGGTTCCTATCCTTATTAAATTTAATTTAATATTTGATAACACGACTGATTAATTAGTTCTCATTGGTTAAAATGGTAGGAAATTTGAATTTTTAATGAATACGAAGTGTGACAATTAAATTAACACGGTGGTCCTTAATTGTTTAATGTATCTAAATTGCTCGATTAGAGGCTATAAAATTAAATATTTTAAAATTTAAATGTCTCTTAGGTTTAAAACTTTACATAATTTTAAATCGATGAGATATTTTAAACAAAGACGTTTTTTCAGAATTTGAATCGACCAATAAACGTCTTCGTACTAATTACATTTAAATAAAAGAATAGATTTTATTGGTTTCCCTACTCTGATTAATTTTTTTTAATTAATTAGAAGTATTGACGTAATATAAAAATTTAATGATTTTAACATTTAAAAATAGAATAAATACTAATCGATATTAATTTTAAATCATTAATATACTTAAAGAAATTTTTTCAGAATTCGAATTGACCAATAAACATCTTCGTACAGTACATTATATCTATATAAAACAATAAATTTTATTATTTAAGTTTGTTTGATTGATTTAAATTAATTAGAAATTTTGTTATATTAAAACCATTAAAAATTTTTTATAAATGTTTTTAAAATAGGCTAAATGTTAATCAATAATATATTTTGAACAAATAAGGTTTTTTCAAAATTTGAATTGACCAATAAACGTCTTCGTGCATTATATCCGCATAAATCGATGAATTTGATTGGTTTTCCTACTTTCTTTAAATTTTAAGATTAGTAATACTGCTGTAACAAAAATTTAACATATTTAAACTTTTAAAAAGTACAATAAACACTTTTATTTTTCAGTTTAGGCCTTTCATTCCTGTGCGGTTATTAATAGGGCCTTTTATCCATATCCATCGTAAGTTGGCAAGGCCCACAATGAGGGAGACCGGACGATGAGGTATATGGTTTGACATATCAGAAACAGGACGCCCAAGAAAATTACTAAGACCACTCGCCCGAACTCGAACCTGGATCCCCATAACGTTAGGCTTATTCCTTAACGGCCTCTGTCATCTGGCCAAGAATAAATACTAATGGATTATTTTAAACAAACAAAGAGGTTATTTTCAAATTTGAATTGACTAATAAACAAATATATATTGTGTAATTCTGTGCACTTTAGCGTGACGAATTTTTATTGGTTTTTCTGTTTTGATTAATAAAATTAATTAAATTTTTATATTATAACAATATTTTTAACATTTTTAATATTATATAAAAAAATATATATATTATTTTAAAATAAAATTTCTGTACAATTCACACGAATAAATAAATAAATAAATAAAAATGTATTGTTTGTTTGTTCCTACTAATTCCTTTAAAATTTTGACACAACGCTGCATTCGAATATGCACGTGTTTTTATATAATATACATGTCGAAATTCCCCCCACTGGGGGAGATGGACAGGATTAAGGCTTACTGTGAAGAACTTGGCTTCTATTATACTATTTTAGATGCGGTTTTTGGCGTTTTTGATTGCGTTTTAATAGGGTATGTCAAGAGAATGTACACTAAGAAGGGATTTTTTGAAAAATTCCCCCCCACGGGGGGAAGTGTTATACATTTATAATAGATACATTTTGAGTCACAACAACACGTGGCGGGGTCTGCTAGTGTGTACATAACAGCCAGAAAAGTAACAAGAGAAACTTGTTCAACTACCACAAAATCAACTTTGTGATAGTTGAGTAGATAGTTTCAAAATCAAATCACAAAACATGCTTCAGGAAAAATAGTAGAATGTGCATCTTGTGCAATGGGAATACCATGTTCCACACTCTTAGCAATGTCATGACATCATGTGGCAAGTTCGAACAGAAAAGCAAAAACTGACACTGAGAACTGCAGTTTCCATGCAATGCTGCCTAGCATTTTTGGATTGGGGAATTTTTATCAGCTGAGAGAAAATCTGAGGAATTTTTTGGAGTGACATTTTTTTCACTTTGATCTTCTTTTCAATAGATTAAAGCATAAAAGTTTTGGCATGATATAACATGTGAAATGCTGTTTAAACATTGTGATCAAATGTGTTATTCGGAATTATTAAAATTATTCAGAAATGATCCCCTTTTCTAAGTGACTGCTTAACATGTTACTTTTGCTTTCCAGACTCCAAACTGATAAGGCTACCAGCACCTGCATTAATAAGTAAAACTGGTGGTGATAAATAATTTGAATTAATGAAAAAAAAATTTTTAACTGGAAAAATGGTTGGCAATTTTTAAAAATTTTCCAGAGCAACCTGATATACTATGTATATATATAAAATCATAAATCATAAAATCAGAAGAATAAAATTCATTTTGTAAAGAGAAGTAAAGTGTTTAAAATTGAATTTAATATGTACACATAAGCACATTCTATAATTCAAATATGAAAAACTAAGCTGTTAAAATTTCTTTGAGATCAATTTGTAGTACAGTCGACCCCCCTATAATTACGATTCCTATAAAACTACGAAAAAATTGCTACCGGTATCCGTAAAAAATAGTAAAAGTTCCCTATAAACACCTCAAACGTCATCGGGCAGCCGAACTACTTTCCCGCCGTCAGTAGCGCCACGCTACGGAGAGATTTCTATCGTCTGGACAGTATTATATAAATTANTGACAAATGACATTTCTCTATTAAAAAGTTTTTTCAAAAATACAAAGAGTGTGATGGTAGCAAAGGACTCTGAATCAATGAAGGCATATGGAGTAGGAAGAATTGAAGGTGAAGATTTTATACTTGAAAAGACATTGTATGTGCCTGATTTATGTACAAACTTGTTGTCAGTTAATGCTGTCACTGAAAATGATGGTAAAGTCACATTTACCAAAGATAAAGTTATTATCACAAAAGATGATGATATTATCTATGATTATCTATAAAGCAAGAAAATGGGCTTTATACAGTTGCCCTGAAAACAAGTAAGGATAGCTCTATGATAGTACAAAGCAAGTTTAAAGCAAACAGTAACAGAAGTATATCTATATATATATATAAAAAAAAAAAAAAAATTGTATCGTGTATAAAAATAATATAGTTACAAGTACAGATGTTAAAAACCGATAACAATTCATCAATTAAAGCCTATATCCCATACAGTATTATATAATATATAATATCTGGGTTAGATACTTGTATATATATATATGTATAATTTGTGGCTGACTTATATACTAAATATTTGAAGTACACTTTATGGAATTCGTAGTTTTAATTCAAGGTTATGTTCTCTTCTTTTTGTTTTAGTTAAAAACTATAGTTTTAGTTCATAATAAGTTTTAAATCATGCTCATAAATTGCTATTAGTAACATAATAGAAATACCGATTGATATACCCAGGAACTGTATGGCTAATCTTCGGAGGCTATTTTTTGACGTTTCTAATTCTGGTATCTGGAAAAAATATATATATATTAAAAAATATAATTAAATTTTAAACGTAATTATACAGCTTTAAATCTAATAGCGTACGTACTGTAATAGAAATTAATAGTAAATTTTAATGTCGCGCTACGGTGATTGCTACAGGAATAATTAAGTAGTGTGAATGAGAGTAGAGTTAGATGGTGTGATTAAATTCGATTTGGATAAATAAATTGATCAATTTGTAATCATTCATTCGCGTTATGTTAATTAAATTTATTACTTACCATATCTACTAATGCTATGTATATGAACATTCCTGCTGTTGCTGCAAAAATCCATTTTGTGGCCGATGTCAGATTGCCTAAAGCTATTCCTATAGCCATTCCGATGAAGCATAACACAGATGATACCACGTTATAAAATAAAGCCTGTTTAGCCGACATACCAGTCTTCAATAACATGGCGAAATCACCTGAAGAATATCAATAATCTATTAAAACTTTGCCAGAAGTAATTGAATAAGTAATTTTTAAATAATAATAATAATAAAATCACCGAGTTCATGAGGTAATTCGTGACAGAAGACTGCTACAGTAGTACTGAAACCGCCCGAAATCCCAGCAGAGAAAGCGGCTCCTGGAAACAATTTATGTTAAAATAAAATTATCGGTCATGCGTAACATTAAAAATTAGCGATAAGATGACTCACCTATTGCTAAACCATCGCAGAAATTATGTAAACCATCTCCCATAATTACCATCAGTGCTACAGCTGTTATAGAGGATGGTAATTGATGACTATGGCCATGTTGATGATCGGATACTTGAATTACGAAGCTATGATCACTGTCAGAATGTCCGAAAACTACAGTTTCTCTATGGCAATCTTCCATTTTTTTGTCGCCATTTTGTAATTGTTGAGGTAATTGATGAATAGGGATAGTATATGTCGACTTTTGTAGTTTTTCATATTGTTCATCCATAGACGTTTCGTTCAACACTGAAAATTATTTCCAGTTATAAAAGCTTTCATTAATCACTTTAATTATTTCATTTTCGAAATGTAAAACTAGGATTAAGTTTTCGTATATTAAGTAATTAGCCTTTAAATTCCAATCATTTTAAATCTGCTATTTTTAGTAAATTAGAAAGTCGCAAATATTCGAGAACTTATATAATAGGCTACTTAATAATTACTTGTTTATAAGATTAATTAAACGATATTATTTTATTTCGACACAAACTGTTATTTTTTATGTGGAAAAATTAAGCTTTAAAATGTTTATTTTAATATAAATCATTCAATTTAACTATTTTTGTCCAAGATATAATTAAATGTAACAGCAGAGCGGTTATATCTTCTAAATTAATTGATCTGGAAACGAAGAATTTAGACTAGAGGTAAGAGGGTTAACCGCCTATTTCTAGTATCTTAATAATTAATTAGCCGTATTAGAGCCGGTTATATAAATTCATTTATAAGTTATAATAGGTTTTTTTATAGTCGACATTCTTTATTATACACTTCTTTACTGAGTAATTCCTCACGAGTGTTACATACAACACAGAACACCTAGAATTGTCTATATAAAATAATTATATAATAAAGTATTGAAAAACATTGTAGGCGGTTAGAAACTTAAATCCAAAGTGTCGAATGATTTCAAAGATCAATACGTTGGTTCTAGAAACATGATCTAGCAGAATATAATTTATCCTCCAATCCATTTAACTAATGAGGAAAGGCAGTACTTAAAAAATACTACACGCAACTAACTCGAATTAGTTATTCATTTATTTTTTAAAAAAAAAAAGATAAGAAGTAAACAAATGCAAAACACGAGCAAGAAAAAGTTTAACAAGATGTGACTGATTATGCAAATTTATACTCAATCGGCCAAGTAAAGTCTCAGTATATTGTCCAGGTGGATTTGGGTAAATTCGAGCATTTATTATGCAAATTCATGAGATTGCAGTTTAGATATTGTTCGATTTATTATTGAAAAAGTTTGCATTCTTAATAAATAAATACCCTACAACAAATGTAATTTACTAGAAATAGTTTAAAGTAGTCATAATTTTTTTAATGTAATAAAAATTAATTATAGAGATGTAATCATCCGTATCAGGCCATTAAATCTAAACACCAAGCGTTCAAATAATAATTAATATCAAGCGTATATTCATAAAACAGAATAACAACAGACGTCTCATTTTCTATAGCATATTAGACTAATATTTGTATTATATTTAAATACAGTACGTGCATAAGCAAATATTAATTTTCAATAAGGTTTTTAATTTATAACACATAGTGATAACTAAATAAATTCGATATGAATGAAAGTTTTCTGATTCTTATCGTTGAATAGAAACTAAATTCGTAAAGAATTTAGTTTCTAAGGCTAATTTAATCGTAGGAAGGGTAAATAAGATGTTGCTATTACTCTAGATAAACCAAATCTTGCATAAAAATTGCAATTTTTTCGGCTTTTCGGATTGCAATTCATTAATTTATAGTACCATTATTGGCAAGGCTATGTACTACATAATTTATATAAGTTTATATATATATTTTAAAGGCTTCCTAACTACAGTTCTTGGACCAAATGCATTATTCAAGTGTATTTTTAGATGATCTTCATTTTTATCCTTTAATTAGATTTAAATATGTAAATAGCCTAAATAGAGATCTTTTTTTAGTTTCAAAGGATTTATAAATAAAATATTTTATTCGTTGATTATTTATTTGTTTATTTGCATCTTTTCGTTTTATAATTTAAATGATAATACTGAAAACTTTTACGTCTTTGTCTTAATATTTATCTCGGTGATTCTTTTAGAATAGTTATACAGGATGATCAGAACATCCTTTTAAAATGAAGGAGAATGAGTTTTAAAAAAAATCCTAAGAATTTTAATAAGTAAATCAGATACAATCTATTCAATGAGATTTTCAACTTACGATACTGGCCAATGATCTTTAAAGTGTGACGAATTCTTCTTGGAAAAACCGTTATTACAAGCTGATATTTTTCACCTGGCTGAATATTCAATAAAAATTACGTTTGTGTTTATATTTTAATTTAAAATAAGTTTTAATTTTCAGTTTCTATATCTATTAAAAGGGATCATAGTGCTCTTATCCTATGAAGTGCCATGTCCTATGACGTTAAAATCACTTTAGAGATAATTTTATTTTCAATGCAAGAACTTACAGAAAAAATGCTTGAGACAAAATTTTATTTATTCGAGTTTGATCTGAATCTAAATTTAAAAAAAAATACCATTACATTTAAAAAATTTGGTTTCTGGCCTGTTCAGGAAGTTGAAAATTCCACCGTTTGATAGAGTTTATCGATTTATTTATCAAAATATTTAGGCTTTTTCGATAAAATTCATTGTGTAGGAGTGATATTTATTAATTGATTTTTAATAAAGTTTTATTTTAAAATAATTATTCAAAGATATTGTAGTCAATAAATTTTTATCTGAAATGATTTAACAAGAAAAACCTTTGGAATTTGAATATCCTGTTCTTGTTCTACATTGTATATAACGTTTTCTCCATAAATTTTCCTCCATTAGAAAAATGAATTCATACTTGGATTCACTCGACATGCTTGCTCTTCAATATAAATATTTTGGTAACGACATAATAATAGGATATTATATCTATAAAATTCTTAAAATGTATTCTCTTTCAAAATAAATGAATCGTATTTTTTAAAAATTACATTCCTTATTTTGTAGGAAAAGATTACAAGGCATTCATGCAAAATATTTGTGCTAAATACTTTCAAATGCGGATTTAAATTACCATAAATTTCTTCATTCAAATAATCTGTTATAAGGCATGTTAAATAAATTAAGTATATACTTTAAAACTTTATAAAATAGCTTTTTTTTTGTTATAAATCTTAACATATTTTCAGGATTTTAATTCCTTAAATACAGTAAAACATGTTCAGAACGAAACCTAAATAAAGCGGAAAAAATTCTTCTTGCAATCCTGGTTTACAGAGGTTTTACTGTACTTAAATTTTTTTTTTATTTTTTTATTTGTACATTTTATTTCTGTAATTTTGTATAAATTAAATACATTCTGCAACTCTTGAAAGAGAGCATTGTCTGTCTAGCAATTAGTTTTAAATAATTTAATAAATTTAGGGTATTTAAACTAAGTTTACATTACTAATTTATATGTCTTTAAATTATCTAAGCTTCAGATAAGTCATTTTAAGTTTCTTCTTATTATTATTATTGTTGTTGTTGTTTTTTAAATAAACTACCACACTCAGATAGACCAGTATATTAGCAATTCTTCTAACATTTTGGTTTATTTCATTAATTATCTTTAATTATCAGCATACAATTTTGTATTGGCATTTAAAGCAGATTCTTACAATACAGTTAAAATTCTACCTTTAAATATTTCAATGAAAATGTATTAATAACAGCCATTAACTTCTGTTTTATGAGCAGAAAGTCTCTCTTTAACTCTCACTCTCTTATAATAATAATTATGGATAATGATAATGATAATAATTTCATTTTACAAATGAAATTTGATAACATTTTCTTATGATTATTGATAAATTTATTAAGAGCTAAACCTAAATAAACTCCCCAAAAAATTTATTATTTTTAATAACTAGAATAATTTCAATAAGAATACAATGTGAAAAATAATATACATAAATGATATAGATCTAGAGAGCATTAGTGGACATCATTGTAATTTAATAATATTAATATCACAATGATTAGAAAATTATCATTATTTTAATTTAATTCTAATTTAGAAAGTGGAAAACCTCATTGCAAATTTTAATTATAATTGATGAAAGTTTAAATATTTCAAATAATTTATAAATTTATTTCAAAACTATCAAGATTTTTTAGTAATTATTGCTTAAAAAGATTGAATGACAAATTATTAAATTATCAAATTTAAAAATATAAATTTCTCTATATCTAAAATATAAAATATATTCATGTAAATAAATACATAAAATTATCTATCTATATTAAGTCTAAAATATANACCATTACATTTAAAAAATTTGGTTTCTGGCCTGTTCAGGAAGTTGAAAATTCCACCGTTTGATAGAGTTTATCGATTTATTTATCAAAATATTTAGGCTTTTTCGATAAAATTCATTGTGTAGGAGTGATATTTATTAATTGATTTTTAATAAAGTTTTATTTTAAAATAATTATTCAAAGATATTGTAGTCAATAAATTTTTATCTGAAATGATTTAACAAGAAAAACCTTTGGAATTTGAATATCCTGTTCTTGTTCTACATTGTATATAACGTTTTCTCCATAAATTTTCCTCCATTAGAAAAATGAATTCATACTTGGATTCACTCGACATGCTTGCTCTTCAATATAAATATTTTGGTAACGACATAATAATAGGATATTATATCTATAAAATTCTTAAAATGTATTCTCTTTCAAAATAAATGAATCGTATTTTTTAAAAATTACATTCCTTATTTTGTAGGAAAAGATTACAAGGCATTCATGCAAAATATTTGTGCTAAATACTTTCAAATGCGGATTTAAATTACCATAAATTTCTTCATTCAAATAATCTGTTATAAGGCATGTTAAATAAATTAAGTATATACTTTAAAACTTTATAAAATAGCTTTTTTTTTGTTATAAATCTTAACATATTTTCAGGATTTTAATTCCTTAAATACAGTAAAACATGTTCAGAACGAAACCTAAATAAAGCGGAAAAAATTCTTCTTGCAATCCTGGTTTACAGAGGTTTTACTGTACTTAAATTTTTTTTTTATTTTTTTATTTGTACATTTTATTTCTGTAATTTTGTATAAATTAAATACATTCTGCAACTCTTGAAAGAGAGCATTGTCTGTCTAGCAATTAGTTTTAAATAATTTAATAAATTTAGGGTATTTAAACTAAGTTTACATTACTAATTTATATGTCTTTAAATTATCTAAGCTTCAGATAAGTCAT